CAAAATCAGTCGATTACCGTTTTAAAATATTTGACCCATTGTGACCTCAAATATAACTCAAGGTAAATTTTGTAAGCAAACTTTGTCAAGCTCCATCCAAGGGAGCTTAAACAGCCAAATATCATAACTCTGGGCATGTCATCCCTTCAGGATATGAATGAATTTTTTGACATATTCGACCTCTGTTACTTTTAAAGTAGGTCAAGGTCTTTTTATTCGCATATTTACTATTTAGTAAGGCTCCAACCCAGGAAGCTGAAAGCCAAATATCATGATTTTAGGACTTTCATTTCTTCAGAAGTTATTTTTTTTTTTACTTTTTTGACCTGTCACCTTGAAAGCAAGTCAAGCTCACTCTTCTCTTTCAACCAAGTACTTTGAAGTATGCATCCTTAGATCTGGGAGTTTTAGATGATATAAACGAGGCCTAGAGGGCATTTATCACTCACCTTTGCATGTATATTGAAGTTAAGACACTAGGCATAAACTCACATTGTACCTTCAGACCAGGTAAATAAATAATGAAAGTTGTAGCCCCAACTTGCTACTGAGAAGCAAAGCTAAAAATCATAGTTTAAATAGAATTATTCATGAAAGGATTTTGCAATAATTGCATTTAACAATTAGTGCTAGTGATATATACATGTACCGTCTGAATGACTTGTTTTCATTGACAGTATATATTTTATATCATATATCTCTTGACCAAGGAAGAAATAATGATATGACTAACATATTAACTTATATAAGGTGTGTACAGAAATAAGAGAACATATGTAATAGTGTGTTAGCAAGTACTGTACATGTGTCAACATGTCTGTGATTGTATATACATGAGTAATACTTATCTGTGATACTAATGTCCATGTGTAATACCTATCTGTGATACTAATTTCCATGTGTAATACCTGTCTGTGATAGTATGTACATGTGTAATACCTATCTGGGATACTAATTCGCATTCGAATTAACTATCTGTGATATTAATTTCCTTTTAAATACCTGTATGTGATAGTGTGTACATATGTAATACCTGTCTGTGATAGTATGTACATGTGTAATACTTATCTGTGATAGTGTGTACATGTGTTATATCTGTCTGTGATAGTATATACTTATATATAAGACCTGTGTGTGATACTAATCCATGTATAATAACTGTCTGTGAAGGTATATACAGTCAGTGTACATATATTAGATGTGATAAATATACATGTATAATTCATTGTAAATGTAGCAAACCTTTTTTTACCAATAAATGAAGTTTCTATATACCATATATATACATATAATTGATTGCTTAATACACGACGTTTTACAGCACAAGATATTTGAGAAATATCACAGTCAGACATTTACATTATAACGTGTATTACTACTGATAACAGAAATGTTTTACCCGTATATATTAACAAAAACATTCACGATATTCATGTACCTTACCTTAGAGATAAGGATCGAAAACCCTTTAAAACTGTCCACCATTCGTAGCGATACCATTTAGGGTCAGTTTTTAAGACTCGGATTACATGTGTACATAACTGACTGGCTAGATGTGGTTTATACTGTAAGATAACAAACTGACTGTATGCATATGCACAATAAAATACGAATACGATATGGCTTGAATGAACATATATAACATGACAAGCGAATACAATGCGGTTTATTATTTCCTTCTAGTTATGAGAGACGATTGTAATTATCTTTTAAAGAACAATGCAGTTTTTTGTTTAGTTTTTGATCTTTGCATTATAAAGTTGTTTTCACGTAATCGGTTTGAGCCAATCGGTATGTCAGGTTATACTTGTCATTTAACAAGACTTTTTGCAGACAGCAATCTTTTCCAAATTCTAAGCGATATCCTTGCTGCCATCACATAAGCATGTGTCAGATAGATAACATGATCTAGTATGTTTTGTATATACGTTATTAAGTCCCCCAAACTAAGTTTGGGGACCTATTGTTTTTACTCTGATTCTTATTAGCTCACCTTGGTCCTTCGGATGCATTACCGTGCCAATTTCTTGAAACGACTTCTTCTTAACCACTGATTCGAATTGAACTAAATTTGACTGGAAGCATCCCTGGGTAGTGGGGATTCAAAATTGTACAAATGGTGGGGCTGATCCCCCAGGGGGATGCAGGGCGGAGTCAAAAGGGGGCAATTTGACTATATTGCTTCAAGCAACTTCTTCTCTGGAACTAAGAGATGGATATCAACCATATTTGACTGAAAGCATCCCTAGGTAGTGGGGATTTAAAATTGTACAAATGGTTGGGCTGACCCCAAGGGGGCTAAGGGGCGGGGCCAAAAGGGGTCAATTTGGTTATATTGCTACAAACGACTTCTTCTGTAGAACTATAGACTTGATATCGATCATATTTGATCAAAAGCATTTATGGGAGTCAGAGATTTAAAATTGTTCAAATGGTGTGGCTAACCCCCCAGGGGGCTTAGGGGCAGGGCCAAAATGGTTATTTGGCTTTATTGCTTTAAGCGACTTCTTTTCCGGAACTAAGCGATGGATATCAACCGTATTTGACTGGAATCATCCCTAGGCGATGGGGATTCAAAATTATACAAATGGCGGGGCTGACACCCCAGGGGGCTGATGAATGGGGCCAAAAGGGGGCAATTTAGCTATATTGCTTTAAGCAACTTCTTCTCTGGAAATAAGTGATGGATATCAACCATATTTGACTGGAAGCATCCCTAGGTAGTGGGAATTCAACATTGTACAAATGGTGGGGCTGACCCACTCGGGGGGCTGTGGGGCGGGGCCAAAATGGGGCAATTTGGCTGAATTGCTATAAATGTCTTCTCCTGTAGAACTATGCACTGGATATAAATCATATTTGGTCGGAGGCATTCATGGGAGGCAGGGATTCAAAATCGTATAAATGTTGGGGCTGACAACCCGGGCTATTGGGTGGGGCCAAAAAAAAAGTATTACTTGGAAATGGTTGAGATCCCCACAGTTTTACCATATATACAATTGCTGAGTATAAAGAAAATAATGCACATTTGCTTCTAGGATGGCCCTAGGGTCTGGCCCCAACCTTGGAGACATAGTCCCTGGGTCATAACTTTGAAATGGTTGAGATCCCCACCCTAAAACTATATATACAAATGCTGGGCATAAAGAGACGATTGTATTACTCATGATATTAGAATAAACCCTGGGGCCTGACCGAACCCCTCGGGACCTAGTTTCCTAGTTACAGCTTGGAAACAGTTGAGATCCCCACCCTATAACCATATGTACAATTGCTGAGTATAAAGAGATGAATGCACATATACTTCCAGGATAGCCTTGGTGTCTGCCCCACCCTTGGAGACTTAACTCCTGGGTCATAACTTCGAAATGGTTAAGTAACCCACCCCAAAACTATATATACAATTGTTGGGCATAAAGAGACGAATGCATGCGCAGTCATGCTATTATAATTGATCCAAGGGTCTGCCCTACCCTTGCAGACGTAACCCTTTGGCCATAAGTTTGAAACGGTTGAGATCCCCACCCCAAAACTATAAGTACAAATGCTAGGCAAAAAGAGACAAATGCAGTCATGATATTAAAATTGATCCTAGGGTCTGACCGAACCCCTAGGGACCTAGTTTCTTAGTCACAGCTTGGAACCAGTTGATAACCTCAACCTATAATCATGCATATATACAATTGCTGAGTATAAAGAGATGAATACACATATGCTTCCAGGATGGCCTTGGGGTCTGCCCCACCCTTGCAGACTTAACCCCTTGGTCATAACTTTGAAACGGTTGAGATCCCCATCCCAAGACTATAAAAACAAATGCTGGACAAAAAGACACGAATGCAGTCATGATATTAGAATTGATCCTGGGGTCTGGCCGCAACCCTAAGGATCTAGTTTCTGAGTCACAGCTTGAAAACAGTTGAGATCCCAACCCCATAGCCATACATTAAATTCATGGGCATGAACAATCTAATACAGACATACTACAAGCATTGGCATTGGGGTCTGGCATATTCCCTTGGATCTCATTTGGAGAATATTTTGCCATGATTGCTTAGATACCCAGGTGAGCGATTCAGGCCCTCTAGGCCTCTTGTTTAATTTACATTTAAACATATAATAATATTATAATACAAGGTTAACTTATATACCGCTTTATCACAACCTAGTTCATAATTCGTTCCAAAGCGGTTCACAAGTTATTAGCCGTGGTTATAGGGCCTCTACAACAACAATAACTGTCTCAACTCCCTGGGGAATGCACAGTTGGTGCTGCAATTTCGGCGCTCACAGTTAGCATTCAACAATTCTAGCACTGATCAACCACATACTCATTTACAGCTGAGTAGACTGGAACAAGCAGAGTAAAGTATCTTGCTCAAAGATACAACACAGTGTCGTGCCGTGATTCGAACCCGCAACCTTTCGGTAACGAGCCTGGCGTTCTACCACTATACACTACCGTGACTCCTTATACTGTTGTTGTCTTTATTACTGTTTTAGCAGGCTGGATATGATGTGTTATTGTTAGTATAACCCCTTGCAACGCTACCTATGTGTATGTCCTTGTTTGCTGCAACTGTGACGATCCATGTTTGTAATAAACAAACAAATGTCGTATGTGATTGGAAGGCATGAAGTACAACTAATTATATCCGTCATGTATCAGAGGCAAAGTAAATAATTAACCAAAATAGTATCGGTATATATCCCATGTGGTTTAAGTTAAAATTTATATGAAGAAATACAACTGTTAAACAATTCTTTGAATACATGAAGACTTGAAGTTTCAACATATGATAATAAAACTAACATGAAGTTTCTATATACCATATATATACAAGTTATTGATTGATTAATACACGGCGTTTAACAGTACAAGATATTTGAGAAATATCACAGTCAGACATTTACATTATAGCTCTGTATTACTACTGATAACAGAACTGTTTCTAGCCGTATATATTAACAAAAACATTGACGATATTCATGTACCTTACCTTAGAAACAAGGATTGAAAACCCCTCAAAAACTGTCCACCATTCGTAACGACACCACTAATATTTAGGGTCACTTTTTAGGACTCGGATTATCTGTGTACATAACTGACTGGCTAGATTTGATTTATACTGTAAGATAACAATCTGACTGTGTATTCACGGGGATTTTCCTACCTTTTTTTACCGGGTCCAGGGTCCAATAAATTGGAATGTTTTCGCAGTAAAAATTGAAATTGGGGGAAAATGAGGGGAAATAAAATTTCATACATTTTCCAGTTTCTGTTAATAAATTTCACTTCCTATCATGAGAAATTGCATTCTTTGATATTGGAATTTCTTATTTATTTTTCAATGCATAAGCTTAGGTCTAGCATACAGTTAAACTCTAGTAGATCTAGTAAAGGCTTGTAAAAAACTTCTGATACCCAGAATGTATTTTTCTTTTTTTTTATTATATTATATCAAATATAAACGGTAACTGTAATATTTGTCCATTTCCTTTAAAAGGAAAGAAAACTTTGATTTTAATTTTTAGTCATTTTCTTACCTAAACTATTCAAATGTAAAAAAAGAAAATACAGTAATAAATGAAATTGAACAGACAAATAAATTGATCATTTCCGGATTCTGTGCCCGGATATTGGTTCCCTTATTAGAAATCATGCATGGCAGTCAGCATGTTTATCACACTGCCGACTTTTTGGACAGTTAAACTTCAGTTGTTTACCTCTATTTTCCCTATTGAGCCCCGCCCCTCTGCCCCCAGGGGGTCCACAATTACCTTTATAAAAAAGTTAGTCCCCTTGGCCCAAGGATGCTCCATACTAAATAAGGATAGAATCCCTTCATCCCTACGGTAGAAGAAGGATTTTAAAGCTTTTACCTCGAGCTCAATTTCCCCTATTGGGCACCTGGGCCACACGAACAGTTTATACAAAATTGAGTCCACTTGGGTGAAGGATACTCCAGACTAAATTAAGTATTAGCTTTCCAAATGCTAAGAGGGATACCAACAGCATTTTTCATTAGTATGCAGTTATAGTAAAGTTTGAGATAGATTGGTATGTAGAAGCTTGCGTAGTTATGCTGAGAATTTATTTAAAATACATACAAGTTGGTGGTCACTGCGTCCAGGAGCGGACAACTGTTAACCTGTTGGTCAGGTGGTACTGTGGTGTTTCTCTCATACGCATGTTGTGAACAAGGTTACGTCGCATAACTGCAGGATTATTCCTCAGTTGAGGGACAGACCTTTTTAAGACCTGTACAAACCCTGTTACATAATATATACATGTGATTTAGTGTAAATGCCCTAGCAGGGGCATCAATATCCAATGGGAAAGAGATAACATGAATAGCATGCAACCAATGACTAGTACAAACTTAAAATATAAGAATCAATGACAATAACAACGTAAGATAGCAGGTCACACTAATACAAGAACCGGATTGTCAGGACCAGCATGTATTTTTTTTATTTTTAGCTCTATCACCTGCCCGAATTTTTGTGGACAGAGGGACGGGGCCCAACAGGGGAAATAAAGGTAAAACCTTTAAATTCCTTCTTCTACCGTAGGTATTAAGGGATCTTATTCCAATTTAGTCTGGAACATCATTGGGCCAAGGGGACTCAATTTTGTATAAATGGTGGGTGTGGCCCTCTTCGGGGTAGAGGGTGGGGCCCAATAGGGGAAATAGGGGTAAAACCTTTAAATTCCTTCTACCATAGGGATTAAAGGATTTTATCTTAAATTAGTCTAGAGCATCCTTGGGCCAAGGTGACTCAATTTTGTATAAAGGGTGGGTGTGGCCCTCCTCGGGGCAGAGGACAGGGCCCAATAGGGGAAATAGAGGTAAAACCTTTAAAATCCTTCTTCTACCAAAGGGAATAAGGGATTTAATCCCAATTTGGTCTGGTGCATCCTTGGGCAAAAGAGACTCAATATTGTATAAACAGTGATTTTGGCCCCCTGGGGCTGAGGAGCGGGGCCAGATAGGGGAAACATAGCCAATTCTTCAAAATCCTTCTTCTGTAGGAGTTACAGGTTTTTGTCCAAATTTGGTATGAAGCATCATTAGGTGAAGGGGAATCAATTTTGTATAAACGGTGGTTCTGACCCCTTGGGGGCAGAGAGGCGGGGCCCAATAAGGTATATAGTGTAATAGCTTTAATTTTCTTCTTCTTTCGTTGGGATGAAGGTATTTTGACCGAATTTGAACAGTAGCATCATATTTGGAAGGGAAATCAATTTCGATAAATGGTGGGTGTGGCCTCCCTTGCGGCAGAGGGGCTGTGCCGAATAGGGGAAATAGAGGGTAAACCTTCAAAATCCATCTCCTACCTTAGGGATTATATAAAGGGATTTTATATTAAGGGATTTTATTAGCTCACCTGTCCGTCGTCCGGCGTCCGTCAACTTTTCCTAAAAATCTCAACTAGTCATCAACGACAAAGCAGATTTTGACCTAATTTGGTCAGAAGCATCCTGAGGGGAAGGGAAACACAAATAAATGGGTGGTCTGGCCCCCGAGGGGCCTGAGGGGAAGGGCCCTATAGGGAACACATAGTAAATTATTTAATATCCTCCTTCTTCTTTAGGAATGGAAGGATTTGTTCCATATTTGGTCTGAACAATCCTTGAGTAAAGGGGAACCAATTTTGTATAAACCCGGGATCTTGCCCCTGAGGGGCCTGAGGAACGGGGCCCTTAAAGGGGAAATATAGCAAATTCTTTAAAATCCTTCTTCTTCTGTAGGAATGAAAGGATTTGTTCCATATTTGGTCTGAACCATCCTTGGGTAAAGGGGAACCAATTTTGTATAAACCGTGGGTCTGGCCCCCGAGGTGCCTGAGGGGTGGGCCCAAATATTGGAAACATAGCAAATTCTTTTATCCGTATATAAGATTGAATCTTTTCTGAAACTTATTGTTGTGAAAACAACATCGTTATATTCTGATTCTACTTACCTGTTCTGCCAGCCTATGTCAGGTGACCGTGTCGGCGCAGATCTCCCCGTAATCGAGGTATCAACGCTAACGTTATATTTGCGACATGCTTTCTTATTAATTCCATATGTTGGCATGGCTACCTAAACAGCATGTATTAGTTTAGTAGTGATACTGGTAGTCTTATTGTTTATAAATTGCTAGACTACTTGTGGATGATTCTAAGTGACAAAGGCTTTGCACATATTTAATCACCATAAATTGTGTGTTTATGTATCTAGAGATAGAGAAAAATGGTTACAATAAAGCTAGTTTGATTTTGATCCTTTGCACAATGTTGGCAATACTTACCAGTTATCCATATACATAATTTTAAAAGTAAATAATATCATACTTGCACATTATCATTATCTTTTATAGCAATTTACCAGATAAATTTATCGAGGTATTTTCTAGTTGAGCGTCAGTAGGTACACGAGAACTCGAGGCAGAAGGAGGGGTGGCAGTTCGAAACCAACTCCCGATGAAACCTGATATGCGGAAAAAAGACAAAAGGAAGCAGCAACAATGACACAAGATCATGAGTTTGACCAGCAACCCGGGCCATCCACTACTGCAGTATCATCTATTCCTCAAGAACCCAGGACATTGGTATGCCATCAGTTCCATCACAGCTCATGTCTGTATGTGATGATGTTGGTATGCACGTCCCAGCTAACTTGAAACAAAAAATCGGGAATGGCGAGTATGTTGACCTATCTTCATTATAGCCAAAAATTGTAAACTCTAAAAATGAAAAACCCGGCTCTCAAACGTCTATGGGCACTGGGAAAAACACCAATTAATCCTAACAGATTAAGCGAACTATTGAAAGGGTACCCAAACAAAAATGTTGCCAGTGAGTTGTTGGAGGGCTTCCAGTCAGGTTTTCGCATTCAATATACCGGTCCTAGAACTCCATCATCAGCTAAGAATCTTGTAACTGCTTCTCAAAATCCCGAGATGCTTGCTGCCAAATTTAAAAATGAAACCGAGTTGGGTCGCATTTCTGGTCAATATGATCAAATCCCTATTTCCACACTTCACATTTCACCTGTTGGTCTAATTCCTAAAAATAATGCGGGAACGAGACTCATTACCCATCTCTCATTTCCTCCATGCAGTAATGTAAATGAGTTCATTGACCCTGACCAATGCTCAGTGTCTTACACATCTTTTGATCAGTTCATACACATGATTTCAAACCTTGGTCACTCTGCACTGATATTCAAGATGGATACAAAGTCAGCCTTACGTTTGTTACCAGTGAATCAAGCTGATTTTGATCGACAAGGAATATTTTTTCCAAGATCAGTATTTCATCGACAAATGCCTACCAATGGGCTGTTCCATATCCTGTTCCCTTTTCGAAAAGTTTTCTACTTTTTTTAACTGGCTTATTAGAGAAAAATCTGGGCTGGATACATCTGACCATTATCTTGATGATTTTATTTTCGCTAGTAAGCGGAACTTAACAGATTGTCAGGAACAGAAGGAACTCCTCGGTGCGCTGTGTGATGATCTTGGGGTGCCAATAGCAAAGGACAAATCAAAAGGTCCTACTACTGTTTTAATTTCTTAGACTTAGAAATCGATACAGTTAGAGTACCACAGGCTAAAGTGGCTGCGCTTCAAGAAAGCCTTCAACAGTTTTTAACTAAACAACATAAAATCACTTTGAAGGAGTTGCAATCATTGACAGGTTTGTTGGTGTTTTGTGCTAGAGCAATTAATACCAGTAAACTACACCGAAGTATAAAATCAGTGTTCAATAAGGAAAGTGTTCACTTAGTCAATAACCACACCCATAATTATATATGAGCAATTTACGGCAAGTTATAGCATTCCCAATAAATATAAATTATGGAGCATTAATATTTATAAACATAAATATTAAGTTTAGCAATAGCTTATATATTTTATTTGACCAATAGCTTACCCTGTATGTGGTACCGGGGATCCACTAGTATAATCTACAAGGTATGTATATTCCGTAAGTATGTATATATGGCAATGTTGCCTCTACCAGGAGCAGATAGGAAGTGAATAGAAAAGAAAGGACAGAGAAGCAAATAAAACATTGAAGCGGGAAAT